AACGATAGAACGATAGATATATAGATAGATAGATAGAATGATAGATAGATAGATAGTTAGATAGATAGAACGATAGATAGAACGATAGATAGATAGATAGATTGACAGAATGAGATAAAATGATAGAATGATAGAGCGACAGAACGATAGAACGATAGATAGAACGAACGAACGAACGAACGATAGTTAGATAGATAGATAGAACGATAGATAGATAGAACGATAGAACAATAGATAGATAGAACGATAGAACGATAGAGATAGATAGATAGATAGATAGATAGATAGATAGATAGAATGACTGATGATAAACAGAACAATTGATGAGAGATAGTAGATAGATACTAAGTACTAAAATTACTAGAAAATTACTAAAATTACTAAAAATTAATAAAATAAAAACGTTAAATTGAATTATTTAAATAGAAAAAACGAATAAAAATGACAAAATTCTAACAATTTGAGAAATGACAATATAAAAAAATCTAATAAAATATTAATGAATACTATAATATGTAATATAAATATTACTAAAACTAAAAGTTACTATTAATAACTGCTTTCATTAATATAAATAAAGCTGAAATAAAATAAAAATATAAATATTTCATGAAAAACTTAAATGTTGCTTTGGAAACTAACTGGAATAAAATAAGTACTAATTACTAGATAAAATTACTAATACTTGAGAACTGAAAATATGAAAATAAATCTAATAAAAAATATGAATAAATACTACAATAGTATATAAATAATGCTAAAATAACACTGATTTAGTCAAGTTTGCCAAACTTATGACTGCAAGCTCTATAATTCACTGAAGCCTTGTGTTTCTTACTGACTTACTGTTCCTGTGCAGGGTGTCGTTCTGTACGTTCCTGGCACACGAGTATCCGGAGCAGGTGCATAAGGTGGTGATGATCAATGGAGGCGGCCCCACGGCCCTGGAGCCCAGCCTGTGCTCCATCTTCCAGCTGCCCTCCTGCGTCCTGCACTGTCTGTCACCCTGCCTGGCCTGGAGCTTCCTCAAGTAAGAGCCCAAAATAACAACTTCTGCAAAAACAAGAGTCGTTTGAGCATAACCTGTAGCATGTTGAAAATGGATCTTTTCTTTTGTTTTGCGCACAGAGCTGGTTTCGCCAGACAGGGCGCTAAAGAGAAGCAGCTTCTGAAAGAGGGAAACGCTTTTAACGTGTCTCCGTTTGTTCTGCGAGCGATGATGAGCGGTCAGTACTGGCCCGAGGGGGACGAGATTTACCACGCTGAGCTGACCGTCCCCATACTGCTGGTGCACGGCATGTACGACAAGTTTGTGCCGATTGATGAGGATCAGCGGATGGCAGAGGTTTGAGCACATTAAATAGATTTTCATTGCGGTGATATCATTTCTTGTGTGACACTATAAGGATGGTGCTTTCTTTGGCTGTCACAATTCACATACTTTTACTACTCTCTAAAAGTATGTACTTTTGCAATAAGTTTTAGAACTTTTTTGCAATAGAGTTTAGGAGATTTTTGGTATTAATTTCAGGACATTTTTGCAATACTTTTCAGGACATTTTGGCGATACATTATAGGACTTTTTTTGCAATAAAATTTTGGAATTTTTTGCGATACATTTTAGGACCTTTTTGTGATGCATTTTTGCGATACATTTTGGCACATTTTTGTGATACATTTTTGGATTTTTGCAATACTTTTATGACTTTTTTGCTATAAAATGCAGGACTTTTTGCGATACATTTTAGGAATTTTTTGCAATACATTTGAGGACTTTTTGCCAAATAAGTGGACTTTTTTGCAATAAATTTAACATTTTTGTGATACATTTTAGGACTTTTGCAATACATTTTAGGAATTTTTTGCAATACATTTTAGGACTTTTTGCCAAATAAGTGGACTTTTTTGCAATAAATTTAACATTTTTGTGATACATTTTAGGACTTTTGCAATACATTTTAGGAATTTTTTGCAATACATTTTAGGACTTTTTGCCAAATAAGTGGACTTTTTTGCAATAAATTTAACATTTTTGTGATACATTTTAGGACTTTTGCAATACATTTTAGGAATTTTTTGCAATACATTTTAGGACTTTTTGCCAAATAAGTGGACTTTTTTGCAATAAATTTAACATTTTTGTGATACATTTTAGGACTTTTGCAATACATTTTAGGAATTTTTTGCAATACATTTTAGGACTTTTTGCCAAATAAGTGGACTTTTTTGCAATAAATGTAACATTTTTGTGATACATTTTAGGACTTTTGCAATACTTTTATGACTTTTTTTGCTATAAAATGTAGAACTTTTTGCGATACATTTTGGGACATTTTTGCGATACATTTTAGGACTTTTGCAATACATTTTAGGAATTGTTTGCAATACATTTTAGGACTTTTTGCCAAATAAGTGGACTTTTTTTGCAATAAATTTCACATTTTTGTGATACATTTTAGGACTTTTGCAATACTTTTATGATTTTTTTGCTATAAAATGTAGGACTTTTTGCGATACATTTTAGGACTTTATGGTACATTTTAGGACATTCTTGCGATATATTTTGGGACATTTTTGCGATACATTTTAGGACTTTTGCAATACATTTTAGGACTTTTTGCCAAATAAGTGGACTTTTTTTGCAATAAATTTAACAACATTTTTGTGATACATTTTAGGACTTTTTGCAATAAATTTTAGGACTTTAGGACTTTCTTGCAAGAAATATTTTAATTACAAAAATATGGTTTAATAAATATGATATTACAATTGCAAATGCAATTGTTTAACTGCAATACAGTAAAAATACTACTTCAATAATGATAACCTAATGAGATTCCCCATTGAGAATAATGAGAACTACATAAACTACAAAAAATAAATAAATAAAAAGTAAAGTGCAAGCATGCCCGTTATGAGAATTTATGGTGAGAATGTGCTTAATTGTTATGACAATGTCACAATGCAAACATCTTAAGTTCTGAAATAATAGGCTTCATTTTCATCTTCCTGCAAAATATGATTTATTATTTCCTTTGTTTGATTTGGGGATAAGTGGAACATTTTTGTTGTGAGATTCGCATATATGGTCTTGTATATATGTGAAGTGGGACGCAGCCTTTGATTCTATAGTGTGTGTAGAATAACAGTGTGATGTTGGCTCACTCACGGCTCTCCTCTTCAACACAAGAGCGTCTCTGTGCTGTAATGGCCTGTTGATGAGTAGAGGAGCATTACACATGTCCTCATGCAGATGTGCTCTGAATGAAACACTGACGTCTCATTGTACTGCTGTAGTCAGTGAGGACTCCCTGCAGGCAGATAGGAGGGTCTCAACACTGTTAAACAAAACACAGAGTGCAGATGTTCTGCAAAACCACAATAAATTAGAAACTGCAAAATAAATAGTTCAAATCAAACAGTAAGACTGACTGTCTGAATTCATGTGGACAATTCAAAAATTAGACAAATATACAAAACCACAGTTTCAGATCACTTTTCAGATTCACTTTCGGCAACAAGCCGCCTTCAGCTAATCATTTTTTTTTAAAAATCTTGTAGGAAATGTTATTGTGTGATTCACTGAAGAAGGCTTGCTGCCAAAACGTTTGATTTTTGATTGCTCTGTTGCAAAATTAAAATAAATTACAAATCATTAAGAAGATACAGCGAGTGCAGATCCTTTATCTGATAAAACGTAAATGTATATAATGTAGTATTTATCTAATATAAAAATATTTGTTTAGTTTAAGTTAGAAATATTTAAATTATATGTAATTTTTATTTAAATTAGATAAATACATATATACATTTAAATGTTATGTATTTTATAAACCTTATTTGCATAGTTACAGCGAGTGCAGATCCTTTATCTGAAAGTGATGTTACCGATCGATCTACGCATCCAAAATAAAGCGCAGTTGAGTGCAGTGACAAGAAAAATCAGCAGCTTAGTATTAATTTTACATTACATATAAAAATTAAAATATATATTTATTACTGCTGTCAAACGATTAATCGCATCCAAAATAAAAGTTTTTGTTTACATAAT